ACAGCTGAGATGATAATTATAATAATAATAATGATAATTATAAAGGCTTATAAATACTTGAAATGAGACTGCTTGCAAGATCACAAGAGCTTTCCCTTCTCTTCCTCCCTCCCTAAACCCTTCCCAATATCACCAAGGTGGTACATGGTGGACAGAATAACAGTCTTTAGAGTAACCTACAAACATTGTTACCAAAATAATGTCGAATGAAATCATGACGTCCATTTACGTGGTCAGAATGATGTCAGCGTGTTTTTTCAGGTATTTGGGGAAATATCAGAGTACACACACTGTTTCCTCTCAGCTGCTGGAAGGGCATGTCGTGTCTGTGTTTGATTGACAGCAGCCGATAGGCTCAGCTCCAGCAGGGGAATGAGAGACAAACAAACTTGTGCTGTAGCTCGCAGGCCAAGGGTAGATAATGTGGGACTGCAGCATATTGAACAGAGGCTCTGTGTGTTTATGTAAAACATATTTTCTTCTGCACTGTCTTAACAAACCCAGACGAACTGTGAGCAGCCGAATGTGTGTAAATATGCAGCAATCTCACTGCAGCAATAACGGAGATTGTAATGAATTGGAATAATATTTGTGTCAGATTTTCCTCAATTTTATCAATAACAGACTATTTCTGTACATGTGCAGATGTACCTTTCCCCACCATTTTTTTCTCTTTTTTTAAACTTTCCTGGCTCAGAGAACTTACTTTTGTTTTGTTGGTTAATGTTGCTGCTTGTACTGAAATGCGAGTAACGTAGAAACATGTCAGAGTCTATCCTTGCTGTAACCACGTAAGGGATGCCATAAGAAATCAAATGAATACGCCTGTAATGATGCATCAACAAAATAATCGGTCAACGGTGTACCTGCCATTCTATGGTGACTTTCAAAGGGTGATTTGACGAAAATCAAAGAGCGAGAGCAGAAATCGGAAGCCATGGTTTGGTGAGCGTTCAGCAGCAGACTGAGCACCAAGAGACAGACTGAGACCGAAGCACAGGATTGCTTTGCATAAACAGAATACCTGCGACAAAAAGTTTTGAAGGAGGGAAATATAAGTAAAAGAAGAGAAACAAATGTGTTTCCTCAAACTTCCTCTTTGTCCTTTCCTCTGTCTGAGTGGACTAAACATGTTCATATTAAGACAAAAGTATATGACACATTGAATTTCAGTGGACGTGCTACTGTGTTGCTCTTCTCAACAAAGATTGATTTAAGGAGGAAAAGGGGGGAAAAAAGGACAAACAAAGGAATATAAAGAACAGAAGGAGCTATTCCACAACAGCCACTGAAGGAGATAAGGATTTGAAGGAGAGAAGAGGACAGCTTGAAAGGAGTGAAGAAAGACGCAGCTGTGAAACAAAAAACGAGATACTTGAGAGAAGCAAAAAGATGAAGAGGATTCATTCACGAGATGTTTGAATGAAGAGACAATAAAGAGCTTGTATTGGTGAATACTCTTTGACCACTGACATTTTAATATTTCCCTCAACTACAGCCATGCAGCAATGATGAACATGACTATCAAAAGCTTTTGTTTTTTTAACTATTTACTCACTTTTACTGAGCTATAGATATATTTGTTTTACTTATTTTCATATTTGGGGAATTTTTACAAAATCTAATGCTTGTGTGGTGGGACGACACCGTCGAAGCAGGCCTCTCGCTGCAGGAGCATGATGGGATGAGTGTGGTTCACCTCATCTGGTCTGGCCGCTCATCTTTCTCTCCCCCATGGCTTCCACAGCATTGGGTTTTGTTTTGTTTTTCTTCAGGAGGAGAGCAACATTCTTTTGTCCCTCTCTTGGTTGGAAGTCGGTATTACTCCATTGGTTTTGCTGGTTATCTAAGTGATGTTATTGCAATTCTCTAAAGTATCTAGAGCTATATGCTCATTAAAATTGTTTAATTCTAGGGTTTGTTGTGAAACAACTTTTTATGTTTTGCCGGAAGGGCGAATAGGGTCAAAAAAATGTTTGTTAAAACTATTTTAATTAGATTTCCTGCACTATTTCCAATAACATTGACATATTTTTTGTTATCCATCCTAGAGAAAGGACTGGTGTGTTTTCTTTATTTGAGAGTGTTACATTAGTTTGAGAGCAGGACTAATTAATTTCATGTTCGGATTTTGTAACGCTTTCACTCAAAACCCTGTGCTTGCACCCAAATCCCCCCTGCTTGGGCAGATTTCCTGCGCGCCAGCTTCAGCTCTTTTCCTCATGCTCACACTGCTTCTGTGCACATTAACTTTTTTTTCATCTGCTCTTGGAAGCTGATTTTGCAGCTTCATTTTAACCAGTGATGTGCTGGACTCCAGCTCCATGGTTTCAGTGTAATAACTGTGGAGGGCATGAGTGCATAAAGCCAGTTAAACTAGCCGGACTATCAATGACAAAGCTTACACACCTACAGTGTGGGATATTTTCATTTGTCAATCAAAAAAACAGAAAAATCCAAGAGGAGAAGAAAAAAAGCGAGAGCAGCAGAGAAAAGGGAGAGCAGACGTTTTATGTACGCACAGAGGCAGCAGGAGCTCAGGAGGAGCTGAAGCTGGAGCACAAAAAATCTAGGAAATCTAGGCACAAGCAGGGTACATACGTGCAGGGGTTTGAGTGAGAGCATTACAGAATCTAAATTTGAAATCAATAAGTTCGGCTCTCAAACGGAAAGACCACGATCTTGAATACAGAGAGAAAAAGAAAACCTAGGCTGGCCATCTGTTAAGAGGTTCCTATAGCAACAACAGAAATGATGAGTTATTAGCTCATCGCGTTGTTATTGAGCCGTAAAGTCTACCTCAGAGGTGGCCACCAAAGGTTCTTCGCATCGCTCTACAGTACAGAGTCCTGACATGCTGGTGAGAGAAATGCATGAAACATAATGACAGAACCTGTCTGGTGGGGCAAAGATCTATGAGCGTTAACCCCTTGGACAGAGGATGAGTTATTGTGTTCTGTCTTCAATTAAAGCTCCGGAGTCCAAGGCCACTTTGGAAATGTCAGATCAATTCCATATATACTGGCTCCCTGCTCTTCCTCTGCTCACCCTGCTTTGATTGAACTGCTGAGAGAAAAGTTATCGGAAGTGAGTGACTAATAAAAACAGGTTCTTTGAATCAGGGGATATCGAGCACTGTTTTCCCAGAACTAATAGAGTGTAGTCTGTAAGTAAGGTGTCTATTTTAGAATACCAGGTTAACAGACTTTGAAATGGTTATTGTGACATAACAAAGGCATGCACTGGCTTCGCTTAAGCTGCTCTCAGACATGCACTGATATCCGGATATTTTTCCAGAGGGGAATATGTGAGAGAACATTTGTGAAAAATTAAACTTGTACTGCCAGTTCCCGAGAAAAATATCTGGAAAATGTCAGAAAATGTCCTTTTTCATTCTTTTTCTTCTCAGACGTGAAAGGCAAACTCCAATGTCCGGAGCTATTTTGCTAATTTCATGTCTGAAAACAGTATTACACAAAGATGGGGGACAAAAGAATAAATCAGGAGCGTCTACAGAAAGTCAATGTGATAATGTATGGATGTAAACATAACTGTGCTCAAAAGATAAGTACAATTTTAAAGCCGAACATCTTTCTTCACTCTGCTAAAAAAGATGTAGTAGAATATTGGATGGACAAAAACATGTGATGGTGGGGCTGTAAAGGACAAGTAAAGGGTACTTTCCAATCTGATAGGAATACAGAGGTTTGTTACACAAAAGGTTGGGAAAAACTGATTTATCAGATGTAACAAATACCATTATCTGCAATCTAAGAAATTGTCTGCCATTTTATATGGAGAAAATAAATAAATGGGTTAGTTTATGTGCATTTGTGATAAAGACATTGGGTCAATACACATTTTTCTTGGAAATTCTAGTATCCAGTAAATGTCAGGCAAGTCCACACAACTCAACACAACAGTGATGCAGTACAACATGACATCCCTGTGGATTCATCTGTTAGAAACTTGGTGTGTGAAACAGATGGTGTGTTGTACATTAAATCTAATTTTGTAATTAAATAACTCTCCTGACTGGACTGCTAACCACAATAAACAGTGATGGGGCACGACAGAGCCCCAATGATTTCTCATTTTGTGAAATCTAGCAGATATAATCGAGTGCAATGTGGGGATATTTAGCTTCAACTGTCTTACTTCAACAAGACCAAAGCCCTCATTGATACAATGACATATATCAAGTTTATGCCGGACAAGCTGTAATTTCTATGACTGTAATGGATGGTAAAGGAGCAGAGAACCACCTGATGTGAAGTGGAGTTCTTTCTGAGGCTCTTTCTCTGATCTGTGACATCTCATTTGAAAACAGATAGAGTTTAGAGTTTAGTTGACATTTCCTGTTTGGTGTCCTCTCACCTAACCTTCATGCTACTAGTCTGACTAACGTGGCTCACTTTACTCAGGTCCACTATTTATTTAATTGATTGAGACTCACATTCAGACTCCCAGATACAAGCTTTACCTACATTTCTGAAACTTCTGTCATCATCATAACTTTGGGTGTTTCTAAAAATAGAGGAGATTTTTATCACCAGATTTTTTTTCTCTCACACCTAGAATGTGAAACCCAGACATAGTCAGTCAGGGTGAAGAGGACTGCAGACATCTGAGCACCTGAGCAGGTGTAGTACAAAGAGATGGAGCACAGAGTGAAAAGCCATGGGCGCTTGAAACATGGAACCAAAGACAAAGGGTTATGACCTCTGTGGAACAGCGGACATCACGGCCTGAAGCACAAACTCTCTGGGTGATGAAGAGCATCAAAGGCCCATCCAGTACTGATGAATCAAACTACACAGCAATGACCTCAATATATCCTTATTCATTACATCTAGGCTATTAATCCACACATTGTCAGGTCACTGTTCTATTAGAATGACACCATTTCCTGTTTCTTTAGTTACTAAAATCCGAAATGACAGCATCAAAAAGTAGAACTGACAGATGTTGCTTTAGTGATCTTGAAAGGGGGCACAAACCTTTGGTGGTGACTATCTTAGAGCTAAGATCCAGAGTCTCGATGTCCTCAGATCCGATGTTTTCCAAGGTGATGATCATCTCCTGGGTCTCTCCATTGAACAGCTGGACAGACACAGTGCTGGACAGTTCTTCTTTGGACATAGGCTGAGGCGTGTGCGCTGACCTGTTCAGGTTTTTAAGAGTACAAAGAAGTTTTCAGTTTCTTGTAGCCTTAATTGCATTCCTGAGAGAGCCTCTCGATTGGTAGAGTGAGTGCATCGGCTCCATCCCCTAAATGTTACTGCACAGACTCTGGCTTCAAATGTGCAAGAGGCAGCGTTCACATCTGGGATATTTTGGCATAATTTCTGGTTAGTCAAGGGAAGAAAAGACATGTCCATCTGTATATACAGTCTATAACCACAACATGAAAAATGTAACTGTTGTATTGTGAACAATGATAGAAAACCAAATAAAATCCTAGAAAATCTAAATAGTTTCACAAAAAGCATTGCTGTATTTTCTGTGGCCATAAATAATTGAAGCTTATGTTTAACAGTGGCTTTAGTGACATGAAAAGAAGAAAGAAGAAGTGCTACAGTTCTCTATTGGTGGCAAGAATATCTGTAAGCAGTTAGTGAAGCACCTCTTAGACTGAGGTCAAAGCACAAGGTCTACCTTTGGATACAGTGAGAGCTTCCAAGAGACCACATATTACATTTTCATACGATTTGCTTCATTCATGCGTCTGCCACGGTTTTCTTTCAGCGCCAGGGAGTAAAAAGGTTTTCCACATGAAAAGCTGCCAAAGTGCAGTACTTAGAGGCATGGCCGAAACAGTGGATTGTGCAGTAGCTCCACTGTCAGAGTGATTCACAACGATCCAGCAGGGTGATTACCTGTTATCTTTTAGTAGTAATACTCAGTAGTAATAACCCATTATTTCACTTTACACTCCTTTTTTTTCCCCCTATTTTTACTTCATCATAAATGAATTTTCCCCTTTTAAAATGCACATGAAAACAAACTGCAGCCATTTCTGACAGGAAATAAAGCTCCAAGAATATTATCACATTTTTATTTTACGCAGCCAAAATTCCCAACATGTATTTCTTACTTTTTGAAATGTTCACTGTCATAGAGCACACTACCTCGGATGGTGTTTGAGTTGAATGTAGAATTTTCAGCTGTAATTCGCACATCGATTAAGGATAGACTGAAGGGTTTACTGTAAAATAACTATAGCTTGAAATAGTTTTGACCATAAACTGTATATAGAGACAGACAACTGCTCTGTTCCTCCTCCTACTATCCATAAATTAAGCCAAAATATCCCGGATACAAATTTTTTGAGCCCCGGTCTGCACAGTAGCACTTTGGGGATGGAGCTGTGATATTGAGTTCCTGTAAATACACCCACTTGACCAATCACGAGTCAGTCTCAGCTGTCAATCATGACATTTCGTCTTGTTTTTATAACATTGAAAAAACTGCTTAAAAGCAAACTTAACAGAAAAATTACCACTTTAACAAAAATCAGTGTAATAAGAACAACCTAAAACGAGAAAAATGTGCACTCTGACTTTTCGATTTAATGCAGCCAGCCACTAGGTAGCAATCGAGCTGTTTTGGCTCCACTTTTGGGAGCTGTCATGTTGTCTACCCCTATTAACAGTCTATGATTGTGACTTTTATCATAGTCCACCAAGTATCAGAAAGATCCTTAACAATGAGTCAATACATAAACATTACATAAGCTGATGAGTTATCTTTGGTTACTTGTTGAGAAACTGAGTATCAACATTGTCCAAGTGCAGGGCACTCTGTGAGTAGCAGGACAATGACACATATTTCATTATTTTGGTTCTGCACTCCAGCTCGATGCGTGTGAAATGAAACGATGGCTTTGAGGTCAAAGTGCTGACGTGCGGCTTGGAGGGTGCTTGAGGGTGTTCACATCACTTGTGGGTGAACAGAGCACGACACGTTGACCTTTCATATTTTCATGGCCAAACAGCAATGTTATTATCCGTACAGTCAAGTCACCTGACCTCAGCTAACTCAGCATGTGTTGTCAACTTGTTGGAATGAAACAAAAAAGGAATGACTCAACACAAGCACCAGACTATAACAGCATATTAACATTTAGTTACCCTAAAATTGCATATTTGTGATTTTTCTATCTAATGTGGATGTAAAATGCCTCAAATTACTATGTCAGTACGTTTCAATCTGCTTAAGTAAAGATAAAACACCAAGCAAAATCTGTCTTCCAGTTTATGGCCTGCGATGTCCGCTTGCCAAATGATCTGGCATGCCAGTTCATCAAATTGTGGCCGTCCCACATGTTGCATAACATCTGTTAAATGTTAGCTGTTATGAGCTGTGGCCCGATGCAGCCAGTGAGAGTAAATGCCCTGATGTTTTTGGTGAAACAATACTTGGAGCTTCAGTGAATAATGTCAGTCATTAAGAAGAGCGTTTTGTTGTTACACAGACGTCACAATATAAGAGCAGAGAGTTTCTGACCGTGGTAGGGATGTGGTGAGCTGGAGGCGAGGAAGGGAGGGAATGACCTCCACCAAACAACCACTCGTCTTCACGCTAGGCAGGAGCTCCAGCATGCAGTCACTGGTCACACCAAACACTGACGTGTGGTAACCTGGATTCAAATGGAAAGGAGAATGATATAGTTTCAACGGTGGAATGTTTTTAAAATTCATCTCTGAAGCAACAGTGTGTGCAGCAGAGATCACAGCTAGTTTGAACATCTTATTATCATGTGCAGTATCCGAGTGATGGAATAGGTTTCCAGCTGAATTTACCGTTGATAGTGATGTTTCCGGCTGTACGCGGGACGCCAACCAGAGTGACGGGGTACAGGCCAGACTCTGCAGGCAGGGAAAGCGCAGCAGGCAGGGATTCAAACTCCACTCCGGAGCTCATCAAACCCTGAATAAAAAAGTGAAAAAAATTGGCTTATTTGTTGATTATTAAGTTGATTATTCGTGCCATGCAAGTCTGAACCAAACAGGAGCAGACAGACGACTCTTTTCCAGCATCATGGAACAGGTTCTGTCCCTGTTTGTGTATTTTATACCAAAAGGAGCTAAATTAAATTGGTTCAGAACTTGGTTCATAAAAGTCAGTTCCTATAGGGTACCAAAAAGGGAAGATTGTGGGTGTGTCATATTCCAGGTTGGAGAGAGAGGATGGAGAAAGCAACAATGGAGAAGGCCTGTGAGACATTTCTGATGTGCTGACAAATATCTGTAGTAACAGTACAAACACCTACAGGTAATCATTGTGACTTGCCATCTAGCTAGGACTGTTTAATTGCACTCAAAACTGGTGAACTGGCTGATTCACTGTAAAGAACCAGAGCAGATTTTAAGAAATGTCACTTCTGAAATACAATGTGGTGCTAGACAAGCTTTTTTGCTAGTACAACAAAAAGGAAAGTCATGGCAGTAAAATGTTCAATTTTAAATTAGTATGAACTTTTGGTTTTTCATCTGTTAATCTGTTTCAGGAGGAATAATAGTGTAAAACATCTACTTCCATCACAGGGTAACTCACAGACAAGTTCAGGATTACATGGTTGTATTAGTTTGCTCCCTTGTCTGACCACATAATGTATAATATGTAGTTAAGGTATCAAAAGTCTATTTTATCATAATTAGTAGATAATCGCTTGATTTATGCCCAAGACAACATTTGTTGTGAGGTCACAGTAACCCTGGACTTTAAGTTAACGTCCGAACATCAAAAATGAAGAAAGTCCCTCAAACAGCTCCTGAAATATTATGGATGGGACAGACGTCAGCTGCCTCCGTGCTGACACTGACATCAGAAAAAGAAAAACTAAAAATGCAATCTCACAGCTCTTACTCAACGCGCACTCCATTAACGCATGTGCAATTTGTGATGTCTCCAGTCCACATGTCTGGAAATGTTTCCATTCATGTAAAACTAATGAAATATAATACTTCAGCAGTGCATGTGCATGTTAGCCGGACAGAGAACAGTGTGGTTTCTGCCCACTGTTACAGTCTGGGACACCATCTGCAGGATGTCAGTATCTCAAATGCTAAATAATCATCAGTGAAGTTGAGTGATATGTGCAATGTGTTCTCGAATTGGGTGTCAAAAACAAAAAAACAAAAAAAGGTGTCAAAAACTGATCAGCTGAGCCTGACTTGCAGCTTTAAAAAAAGATGTGTGTGTGTGTGTGTGTGTGTGTGTGTGTGTGTGTGGTGTGTGGTGTGTCTGTCTCTTTTTTTCTCACCGAGTGTGTAATCATGCCTCCTCAGAATAACTGTATTTACATTCCAAGTACACACTGCCTGGTTGCACGAGGCAGACTGGGGTGACGTAATGACTGCTTCAATCCCCAACAGCAGACACTACCTCACTGGAGGGAAGGCTGCCGAAGAGCTGAGCCTCCGAGGTGCCACGGCTGTGATTTAACCTCCACTCCCTTTCACTTCAGGACATTAGACGCCTTTATTGGATCGCACAAGTATCAGTGTTAACCTATTGGAAATAGTTCATTTGCATTCAGCTTTGAAAAGGTTAATGAGCCTGTTTCATTAATAATAACGATTAGAGCAGGTGCACAGGGAATTGTATTGTTTTAGTTTGTATGCATCGACTTCATCATACCCACAATGCCCACTTAACCCTTTCCTTTGCTTTACCTTATGCTATGATAATGGTACAATTATCATTTATGATCATAAGAAACACAGATTTCTAGGACAGACATTTATACATGTATTACTTTGCCTAAAACTTACGTAAAATGTGGGGATATAATATTTTTCTGTTTCTTTATCGAAGTAAACAGTTGATCCGTCTTTACAGCAAATAACTCTGCTGTCCTAAGATCAGTGAATAAAAGACAAACCTAAAAGTATCGTTTGTCATTTTACTTTACTGTGGGGAGAATGACAAAGACACGTGACGGTGACCTCGCTAAAAATGAAAGGTGGAGGGTTGTGGTAAAAAGCGCTGCTTTAATAGAAAATCAATAAAGCACAAGAGGAAAGCTGGGTAATAGCCATGAAGTTGTGTGGTGATGGAGAAGCAGTGCTCGTCCTGCCAAGCTGCACGGTCACCTTGGTGACAAAAGATGGAAAAGTGACCTTGTGTGTGCTTTTGTTTCCCAGTGTGTTGTCAAGAGCTGAGTTTATGTATAGTTGATAGACAGTTGCTCTGGTCTAACAGCAGTCACTTTGTCTGGGGTACAGACGAGCTCTTAGCAGCCTGCGTCACCCCCTCTGTCTGGACCTGCGTGACTCTACAACAGCACCTGATGTTCCTAGCTGCTGCGGAGCTGTGAGGTGCTTCAGCCTCCATCTGTGACCTGATCACTTCACCTGTAGGTGTGGAGGAATTAATGGCCTCCTTGTCACCGTTTGACCTTGTCGGTTTGATTGTTTCATTTCAGTACCCAGAACATTAGGGTTGCCCCAATCATTACAACCTGTTCCTCAGACTTCAAAATATTTCGGCATAATCGTTAGACTTGGCCAGCTTTCTGAACACACAAATGACCCAGAACTGATTAATCGATGTGGTTCTTTAATGCTTCTTCATTTTTAACTAACTAATGGCACAAATGACTCAAGCTAATAGAAGCATTTTGTGATGTGCCAATATTGCTTTACAGTTGTTTCTTTTAATAGCTGAATGGGTAAAAGCCTTTTGTAGGAATGAGCAGATAATGCGACCTGCAACTGATCATCCATCCATCTATTATCTATACCGCTTCTTCTTTGAGGAACTGAAGCCAATCCCATCTGAGACTGAGCAAGAGGCAGGACCCTGGACAGGTCACCAGCACGTTTCAGGAGTGATTTTCAGTCATGTAAAGAAGTCCAGACATTTTCCTTAAATTTTCTAAAGTGGCTGTATGTGAGAACACAAATGTCCAAGTCAGCCCCCAAGTAGGTCACCAACAGGTGGACCACAGTCTGCACCAGGACCCAGACTCCGTTCTATACGGACCCAGACCTATTATTAGATTCTGACAGAGCGTTTCTATTTTACCTTGCACATCTGTTTTCATATTTACGGTCTTATTTTTACCTGAGCTTTTTTCGTCTTTATGGTAGTAAAAGCATAAATCTTAAAACTGTTTAGTTGCTAATATTTATTGAGATTGCTTAGATGTGAAATGTGTGAAATGTATTTAAGAAAAAAGAAGGAAAAGGGAAACTCAAACGACATCTGTTGTTTTTCTTCTAAAATTAAGCACTTTATTTTAAGATGCCTTAAGCTTTTAATTTAGTTTTTAAATGCAAAGATTATTTTACTTGAAACGAGTAAAGAACTTTTATTTTATTATTAGAGTAGCCTCCAGTTCAATGTGAAAATTAAAAATAAACATTGTTAAATACTATTGAATTGTTTTAGTTAAAGAAAAGTCAGTTTTTGACTTCAGACAGACATTAATACAACTACTAGGCTACTTTTAAATATGTGGTACTGAATCATAACGCATGTTAGACATTAAAGGTCCAGTGTGTAAGATTTAGGTGAAGGAAACAACTGGCAGAAATGTAATGTAGAATAATCCTCATGATGTTTTCACTCGTTTGTTTCATCTAAATTTTATGAATTGTAGTTTTCTTTACCCCAGAAAAGGCCCTTTATATTTAAATACTTTATATTTACTTCGAGGGGACCCTCTCTACGGAGGCCGCCATGTTTTTTACATTAGTCCAGACTGGACAATAAACACCTTTTGAGTTTCTATGACAACTAAAGGCTACCAAAGGTTCTTTGTCATGTTTGGGAGAGGAGGGTGAGGTGAGGGGTGTTCAGCTGCAACATGCAATTTCAACACTGGATATCAGAAAATTCTACACACTGAACCTTAAAGAGGTTTGGGACCTTTGCATGCTCTCTGAATCTTAATTGAATACCCCTGGCTCTAATATATGCGAGTACACTTCACAAATCTGCGAAACAGTAAGTTAACAACCCAAAGTGACTAGATCAGCAAAAGAACTTGATGTAGGTCATCTCCATCTTTCCGAGATTGTTCTCTAAGATTTAAAATTCTGAATCATTACTTCCAAACACAGTTTTCATTATTATAGCCAAACTTTGTGTGGCACTGAGATGATATTTGTCGGATACAAATGTGCTTCACTGGAAGCTTAACTCAGAGACAACTGAGCGGTGATGACTCCTCAAGTTTAAACACATTCCAGATGTTCTGAACCGGAGGTCGCCTGCATTTCCTGTGTCTGTAACAGCATGTGCCACTATTAGACGATGCATAACAGCTAAATCAACCAGCAAGCCCTGTCCAAGTCTATTTGACATCAGTTCCGAGACAGCCTCCACAGTTAAAGAGGCCACTGTCTTCTTTCACACCGTGTGAATGAAAATGAAACTTTCACGGCAATTTGTTCTTCACTTTCCAAATAATTAAGGCGACATCCCTTTTGACAGGTAGAACACTGCGTGCGATGCGGTGTGTGCCGTTGCCGTCTAACAGCTGAAAGTAGGGCTCTCTGTCTGCTGGCCTTTTATTGACCCCGATGACTGCTTTGCATTTCAAGGCGGTCCCACATCACTGCATCCATAAACAGACACAGCAGTGAGCAGGAAGAAAAGCAATTTATTTGGTAATTTGTTCATCTTTTTCCCCCAAACCTGATAAAGTGGCAAAACAACTCATGTGTGCATGTGCGTCTGCGCGCACGTGTGTGTGTGTGTGTGTGTTAAAGAACTCATAAGCGAGTGACAGAGTGTAGGTCTCCAGTACAACTGAACTTCCTTTAATAAGAAAATGTTCAGAAGTTAAAAAGCTGTCACCAGCAGCTACAACTAAATTGGAGTTGCTGTTGTCTGTTTTCAAACTTTTATTTAGCTGAGAACAAGCAAGCGAATTGTGTTGCACTTATCTATATATGTATAGAACCTATCTGGTCTGACAGCAGGGTGCGTGAAACCATAAAAGTAATGGCAACACGGGGGGGTGGGGTGCCTGTGCCTCACCCTCGTGATGCTCTCCTACTGTCAGGAGCAAGAATCTCATGCGATCATTACAGTATTAAACTGTCAAAAAAAAGCTTTTAAGGGATCACGGAAGACAGCGAGGCAGAATCACTTGCCCTGTTGAAATTTATTTGTGGCTGCAGTGGGACGGTTCGTACTACTGGTGTGAGAAACCCATGTTGGCAAACTTCCGGTTTCCACAGAGCTGTGGTAATGAATTAGATATCATATCAAATATTCAAACAGCAAAATCTACTTTTAAGTATATGTTACCATTGAACATTTGAAGTTGAAGTGCATTAAATTTCACCTACCATGTTTTCTACACGAAGTTCGTAAGGCATGGGGTTGTAGACCATGAACTGCACTTCACAAACATCTCCTTGAACCCACTGGAAGTCTGGGTAAAGAAAAAAAAAAAAAAGAATGCATTAGAATAAGATACCAGCGGTTTTAAAACCCATATGTATGTAATGAGCTGACGGAAATACACCCTGAAGCTACACTGCTATAAAAGTGCAGTCCGTGAGTGATAAATGATGAAACCCAAAAAAATGTAACAAAATTAAAAACTTCCTGGTTCATTGTTTTAATATTATTTTTGAACCAAACTGAACATTCACAGAATAAGATCGTCTACTTTACGTCAAGCCTCAGTTTAACTGAATCCATCTCATTTAAAAGCAATAATTCAACATCTGGAGGATATGCACTTTCAAAGCTACACATAATATCTATTCAACTACTACCACTTATACCATATTGTAAGTATAGGTTATATCTTCTTTCGTTATGTGGAATTAAAGCATGTGTGTGTGTGTGTGTGTCTGTGTGTGTTTATACACATGAATAAATAAACATATACATAAATGTATGCATATACAGTACATACATGCCTACTTATATATAAGTGAAAGTCCTCTCAACAGAGTGGAGCACATTGCAGCTGTGTATGGAATGAGGGGTCCAGCCATCATATATGCGTGTGTTGAGGTGCACACACTTTTTGAACCATATGAATGTACACCTTCTGTTTAAAAAATTGGAATTGATCTGGAATTGATCATCAGCTGACGAAGATGAGACCTTCAGTGAGTCATTGTTAGTTTATAGAATGAAATTTATATAGCTGTGATGAGCTACCGGCAGTTATAATCAAATTATGTTCGGACCTATACTTACACGAACTCCAGAGAAAAGTGAACTGTAAAAGGCAGGTTAGCCAATGTGTTTGGAAAATATTTTCGAAAAAAACTGCAGTTATTGATTCCTATAGGTGAAAAAAGTTGAATTTCAGCCCATTAACTCATAGCCCAGTGTTACTTAAAAAATATATAAGTAAAGACATTCCAGTTCTGCACTGCAGAAGCCATCATTCCTGAGTGAGACGCTGAAAGGTTCTGTTAGACTTAGATGCTCCTTTATTCCCTCTGTGGATGCCATAGCCATCTCCACTTTCAGATGTAACACATTGTAGTCCATTTAGAGAACCCATTGCTGTAAATAGACTTGCAAAATAGGCTCTAAAAATCCTAGCTTAGACTCCAGCAGCAAAAGGGATTTACGGAAGGCGAACAGCAGCCGTGCACCTTGGGAAATTAAGTCAGTCAAAAGAAAGATATCTATAATATGAAATATGTCTGGAAATCCCACACGAACTCTGTTCTGGCTCACATATGCTCTCTTAGCCGGCCAATTAAGTGACACACACACCTCAGGAGCAAGGCAAACCGATTGGATTGCTGCCATCTTATCTGTGTTGCCTCAGTCCAAACTCATCAAGTGTCTATTGAGATTCTGCGCTAATCTCTAAAGGATCCAGCATTTTGAAACCTCATTGTGAAAAGCAATCATTAATGTTTTGAGTCAATGCACGGTTAGTTTAAAACCATTTTGTTGCTTAAAGGACAAATGATTTCGTCAGACTTTTTCTTGTGTCCTGCGAAAGTCATTTTTTATTGACGAGAGGCAGAAGTCGAGATGTTTCTCCAGCGGAGAAATGTTCTGTAAAACTATCAGCAGTCTTTCACACTGAATAATGTATGAACACAATGCCTGGACATTAGAGCTAAAGTCCTGCATGTTCAATGAAGCAGAGCAGAGGAACGTAACCGAAGCTGAGCTTTGCATTTGTTTTAAATTATGAGTCATTAGCACCTCAGATGGAGACACAGGGTTTAGTTAATCCTGTCACTGGAACATAAACAGACAAAAAACCAGAAGTGCTTCATCTGTGTGACAGATGTTGAGCCGTGAGACCCTCCGTGCCTGGGCCTTCACTTAGATATGTGAATGGACTGTGGGTGACAGGCCTTTGCTGTTAGAGACCCCACACTGTGGCACAGTGCACCTCATTAAATCTCTATTTGTATCACAAAGCTTGTACACATTTTTATGTTCTATTTTTGTGGGTAATATCATTTTATTCCCCTCCGTTTTATGAATTGATTGTCCTTCTCCTGTTTTAATTGCTGTTCATTTATTTTCCATTTTTGTATTTTTGGAGCTTTGTTAAGAAAAGCGCTATGTAATTAAGTTTGTTATTATCTGCTGAGGAGGACTGCGAGATGCCATTATTATTTACCACAATGTAAACCATACTTACAGTAGAGGTGATCAAAACTAAACTGGAATGGGGTTTAAAATGCTGACCATGTATTCACAATGTCCATGGATCAAATCTGACTGGGAAGAATACAAGGATTATTTCAACCCTTTCTCTCCTCTCACTCACACTATTGACAACTAATGAAAAAAGGAGGTATAAGGTGGTGTACTGGCTATTCTCTGACCTTCATGCATGTATTTTAAGGAGTGAATACCAGATTTGAATCAAAGTATCTCGTCCAAAACCAGCAACGTTTTCTTGCTTTCAGCTTTGCTTCCACGCTGCACAACCCACTGGATAAGCCCATTACTTTTCCTCCCCTCGGTCCTGCCTGCTTGGCCTGGCTTGACACATAAAATGTACATTGGGTTGACATCATGCATATAAAAATAGCTCTAATAGGCTGTGGGAAGGTTGTGCAAATTAAAAACCATCATGATTCAAACATTTATAAAGCAGAGAGTAATAATTTATTTTGTAGAAGGGTCCAACAATTTAAGAGATGTTAAACTTTTCTATTGCAATACCATGATTGGGCACCGGGGTTAATCGGCAAACAAGGCTGCATCTCAGACTGTGTGTGAAGACGGACGACATGACAGCTCCCCAAAAAGAAGCCAAAGTGTCTTGATTGCCCCCTGGTGGCTATCATCCTGCATCCTCCATTTTACAGGACAGTACATGCATCAGACTAAAAGTCAGTGCTCTGTTAGATGGAAGTCACGTGACTTGGCCAGTGAAGGTCATTACACTGTTTGACCCTGAAAACTCTACATGTTTGTTTGTCCTAAACTTGGGGCACAGCGTCCAAAAAAGGCCAGAGTCCCACACTGATAACTCTGGATTTACCCTCAAAGCTGAGAGTCAGCACTTCATCCCCACATCTCACATTTATTGTTTTATTTAACATTCAATGTGCTGTAGTACAGAGGCAAAGCAATAGAAACTGAGCCACTGTCCAAACACTTAAAATCTGCAAGGTTGTAAATGTTAACAGCTGCGGAACATAATGGAGTCCTCAAGAATAGCCCGAATGTTCATATTTCACTGATGACAAGGTAAGTTTCTCTATCTGGTTAAAAAGTCCACACTGTGATTAAAAAAGGAGAAACGAGGTATCGCTAATATTATAGAGCTGCAGGTGTTGCAAACCTGTCTGCAGTTATCTTTGAAAGCAGAAACAACACTGGGATATGTATGGGAGGTGCCTCCACGTGGTCTCTGTGAGATGAATACACGTTCACAGTTAACACATCCATCAAAATAATTGATTTCTGCAGTTGCAGCGTGCTGGGAGACACCTTGAATGAGTTAAGAGAGAATGGTAACTTCATTAGCTGACAGCTAGCTCTCCAGGGGCTCAGAGACTAAGGGGCAAAGGCATGTGTAAAAATATTCTCCGAAATCTCACAGCACTGTAGTGCACCATAGGAATGCCTGACTTTTACCATCGAAATCCTGAATCATGAATATGAATTATTTCATGCATTCTGAATAATTACTTTTATTTATTTATTACTGAATGACATTGTTATTCAAACAGAGCCACAACAGAAATATCCAGACAGCTTCCCATGGTCTCACCTGCCTCAGCTACTCTCAGGATAGAAAGTAAATCCGGGGGAAACTTTGAGCATTACTGAAATGATGGTTACAAAAAACTCCCACATGAAAGTTTGAACTCAAATAAAGTCCTGAGTCATAGCCTGCGTTGCTGACACAACAGATTCATATCATACTCACCACTCCACAGTTCACGTGTCTCATTTTAACAGATGAAGATAAAATGGAGGATGGTTGAGTTTTCTGACAATAGCTTCACGATGATTAAAAAACAAAAACAACAGGAAATTACGAGCAAATTAACAGTATTCCTACTCTAAGGTATATATACTCTTAAGGTGCCTTTAGACATTTGCATCTCACCTATGGAGAATGCAGCGGGTGATTGTCTTGGTCAGACTTTTTACGACAGGAATAACGGATCAGAAATTCTGCTGCAGTAATCATTTGTTTTTGTTTACAGCACATTGACATCAGCGTTGGCCATTATCACCAAAAGCAAAACATCTTTGTCTGTGCCTTCTTTGTGTGTGGTTTCCCTTTTTCATCCTGAGATATTTGTATTATTCCAGTTTAATTCAATAGGCTCACTGACTCAAGCGGAATTTTGCTGCTATATTCTCACACAGGCTCACTCAGACATGTCGGACATTTGCGTTCTCACCTGCAGCCCCTCTGCATAGTTTCAGGAAAATGTCATGAGTTCAGTGCATGTCTGAAAGCAGCTTCAAAGTGGCTGTTTGTGGTGAGGAAATCATACGTCTGTTGAATAAGTGTTGTGCGCAGAGTTTTGACTGGGGAATAAAGAACTGTCAATCCTCAGTTGAACAGTAATTTAAACAAATTTTTTTTTTTTTTATTT